CACTGAGGAATTGCTGGTATTTATAATAGCCGAAGCAATTGCAAAGTACAGCATACAGGAAGTAGACTTAGATGGTGAGATGCTAACTAAAGAGGTCATCCCGCATAACCTTTTCCCCAGCTCCATGCCGAATTGACTGAGAGTGATTGGCCGCTCGGCATCTAACGGCATTGGGGCCATGGGCGGCCGGCGGTACGGGGCAGCAGGGGGGTTGAAGCTCTACCTACAGCTGCTTTACCCCACCTCCGCTGTCGCTCTGGGAACTGCTCATCCAGATCCTCTGTCTGTCTATAAGGACGGCTTCCATTTATAAGACCCGGGGCACCGCCCTATACTGACACCTACATGTACATACATGCACCTGGTCAAGCTGAGTGGCTGATTGTCGACGAGTTCGTTGGGGAAGCAGCGCATTGAATCCATTCAGCCTATATCCCGTGTGCCTGCCGACCTATACGACACCTTATCTACATCTATATCTCTCCTTCTCTCCCGGCCTCTTCTAATACAGCCCACGATGCGTCGTTTGGTGACCCGAGGCATCTCTGCCAGCGCAGGCCGCTCGTCCCAAATCGCCGCTGCCGCTCCTCGAGCTTCTGCTCCTCTCATTGCTTCCAGCTCCGCCAGAATGTCCGTCCCATCCTCGTCCAAGTCCGCCTCGGCGTCCGCGACCAGGAGGTTACACGCCACGGCCCGGCACCTCAACGCCGCGCTGGCCTCCACGGCGACCAGCTACCCGACAACGCACGAGCGCATCGCCAAGGTCGAGGACACGCCCTACTTCATCGACAACAAGTTCGTCCCCTCCGCCACCAAGCAGTTCATCGACCTGTACGACCCCGCCACCAACAACCTCGTCACCCGCGTGCCCCAGAGCACCGACGAGGAGCTCCGGGCCGCCGTCGCCTCCGCCGAGAAGGCCTTCCCCGCGTGGCGTGCCACCAGCGTGCTCGCCCGCCAGCAGATCATGTTCAAGTTCGTGTCCCTGATCCGCGAGAACTGGGACCGTCTGGCCGCCAGCATCACCCTCGAGCAGGGCAAGACCTTTGCCGATGCCAAGGGCGATGTCCTCCGTGGTCTTCAGGTCGCCGAGGCGGCGTGCGGTGCCCCCGAGCTGCTGAAGGGCGAGGTGCTCGAGGTGGCCAAGGATATGGAGACGAGGTCTTACCGGGAGCCGCTTGGTGTGGTTGCGGCTATCTGCCCATTCAGTGAGTGCAATTGGTTTCGCATGCCAGGTTCCGGGATGAACACACGCTGACAGATGCATTTATATAGACTTCCCCGCTATGATTCCCCTTTGGTCTATTCCCATTGCTACCGTGACCGGCAACACCCTGATCCTGAAGCCTTCTGAGAGGGATCCTGGTGCTGCCATGATCCTCGCGGAGCTCACTCAGAAGGCAGGCTTCCCTGATGGCGTTGTTAACATCGTCCACGGTGCCCACCGTACCGTTGACTTCATCCTCGACGAGCCGACTATCAAGGCTGTCTCTTTCGTCGGTGGTAATAAGGCCGGCGAGTACATCTTTAGCCGAGGCTCAGCCAACGGCAAGCGTGTACAGGCCAACCTTGGGGCTAAGAACCACGCTGCCGTCCTACCGGACTGCAATAAGAACCACTTCTTGAACGCTGTTGTTGGTGCCGCCTTTGGCGCCGCTGGGCAGCGATGCATGGCTCTCTCTACCCTAGTAATGGTTGGAGAGACCAAGGAGTGGCTGCCGGAGCTGGCTGAGCGAGCCAAGGGACTGTCAGTGAACGGCGGCTTTGAGCAGGGTGCAGACCTTGGCCCCGTCATTTCCCCCCACAGCAAGGAGCGCATCGAGTCACTTATCAAGAGCGCTGAGGAAGAGGGCGCCCAGATCCTCCTCGACGGCCGCGGCTTCAAGCCCGAGAAGTACCCCAACGGCAACTGGGTCGGCCCGACCATCATCACCAACGTGACCAAGGACATGAAGTGCTACAAGGAGGAGATCTTCGGACCCGTGCTGGTGTGCCTGAACGTCGACACGCTCGACGACGCGGTCGAGCTGATCAACGCCAACGAGTACGGCAACGGCGTGGCCATCTTCACGCGCTCCGGCCCCACCGCCGAGACCTTCCGCCGCAACATCGAGGCCGGCCAGGTCGGCATCAACGTGCCCATCCCCGTGCCCCTGCCCATGTTCTCCTTCACCGGCAACAAGAAGAGCATCGCCGGCGGCGGCGCCAGCACCTTCTACGGCCGCCCCGGCATCAACTTCTACACCCAGCAGAAGACGGTCACGGCGCTGTGGCAGAGCGCGGACGCCATCAGCACCAAGGCGGACGTGGCGATGCCGACTCACAGCTAGGCTGGGGACTGGGAGAGCTGAGGATGAAGGTTTTTTTTTGTCAATTTGGATAAAATTGGGATCTGCTAGAATGACTAGTTACCTATGGTAATTACTGTGAGGACGGAGCACTGTAAATAATACTACTTATGATCCTACTTAGGTAGTGAATATAAACTGGATCGTCATTGGGATTAGATAGTCAGAATCGTGTATAAAATTGGAAAAGTTATGTGACTTGTTCATGTTTGTGAGATTCATCAACAAGGGAGTGATTTCGGTGATAATGTTGTGTCGCTGGTAGCAATACACTTTGGTGAGGTCTGTCAAGCGAGCAAGTTGAACAAAACACTAGAGACCAAATAGAAACATCATTCCATCCACACACAAGCACAGTCAAGCACTCAACATTCTATCAACCTCAATATTTCTCCTAATTTCGGGAGGAGGAAAGAACCTCTAACATTCTGAGTGCTCGAGTTTTGCCTCTAGAGATGCGCTTGCCACTCTGAAACATATGACTTGGATCAGAGTCGTCATCTTCAGACCTGGTTTTATCTCCGGCATCCTTCAACCATAAGATCGGGAAGGCAGTCTTCAACTCTAACGCGACGATGGATATCATCCATCTTCCACATGATCTATTTCTACTCATCATCGCTCATCTCTGCCCCCGAGATGCCATCTGCTGCCGGGGGGTGTCGCGCAAGTGGCGGCACGCCTTCACCAACAGTGAGCTCTCGCTGACGCTGCTCCGATGGCATTTCCCACGGTGCCGCGAGCTGCGACTAGCCGCCTCAGCCGCAAGCTTCAGGGCCGCCGCCGCTGCCGGAGAGCTTGGGGTCCCGACGACGGATGAGCTCGACGTGGAGCTACAGCTCGAGCTCGAGAGGGCCGCCGGCGGGGACCGCGACTGGGCGCCCGTCTTTGCCGAGGTGGCCCGCCGATACCACCACCTCCGGACGGCGACGCCGGCCGCGACGGAGAGGATCGACATCCAGAAGAGCCAGTGGCGGTTCTTCGGCGTCGGCACGTGGAATCGCTACCTGCGCCTGGACGACAAGACGGCGCCGTTCCACTACGCCGACCCGCGGTGGGCGTATAGCCAGGAGGACGGCGTCCTGGTGTATCAGTCGGTGCCGCCGCCCGAGGACGACAAGCTGCCGGGCGATGGGATCATGGCTACGGGAGGGAGGCGGCCGCGGAATGATGCGGCTGCTGCTACGCATGGCTACATCAATGATACGGATATGTACGGCCATCCCTTCCGGCTGTTGGATCTGGCGACTAGACAGGAATATCGAGTCCCGTTCCATTCGTCCAACAAGATTGTTAGGAGGGTGCGGCTTGCAGATGGGGTTCTCATATTTGAGTGGTGTGAAGAGCTACCCTACCACGATCTGAACGATCGCGAGGCTGTTCATCGACATTACACTACAGCTTTTGATGTGATCCGAGAAAGATCCGTTCCGGATGATGTATCGGAGCAGGTGTCATCGTCATCAGCAAGCCAGCCTACCGGGACAACAAAAGCGAAAGACAAGACCTGGCATCTGCCCAACGGAAAACAGGAAAGTGCAAGACCAGACACTCTTCCACCCCCATGGACTTGGAAAATCACATTTCGCTCCGAATGGAAGATGCACTTTCTAGGCCTTCCATTGAACAGGACAGATCGATTCTTCAGCGCGCATACATCTACCCATTACGCTCTATATGTCTGGCAGCCGAACAGATCTCCGTGGGGCGAAGATGACCCGATAGAGCTGCTTACGATTTGGGACATCTCTTCGCCATCGTCATACAAGCCGTCTGAGGATCCTTCCGGGAGACAGAGACCAGACGATCTCATCCTCAATATTAGTCTATCAGGCATCCACCCTCAACCAGCACCAGTCCCAGCAAACAGCACCAAAGACGCAGGCTGTGGGCCACGCCTTATACGGAGGATGACATGGCGGGACCTCGAGTTTTACGGCATTCGACAGCGCACGACGCCAAAGCTGCGCGGGCTAAGCCTAGATTATCACAATGTATACATCGTGGAGGAAGAACACCGCTGGGCCCAGGGCCAGCACAGCAGCCTAAGCCCACCACGTGTGCACCAGGTCAAGAGCACGGCGATCCCCGTCATTCCGGGTCCGCCGCGTGGTGTCACGGAGCGCTCTAGTCCGCCCAGCCCCGACAAGACCGAGTTTGCCCCGGAGCAGGAGGACGACGACGCCGAGGAGCCGGCAACGCGTCTCCACCCGCTATCCCAGGCCCAGCGCGCCCCAGCAGCGACAGACTCGGACGACGGCGCAACCGCGACTTCGAGCCTGTCTGCTGCGAGCGTGGCTGGTTCAGCTCACAGCAACCACATCAATGGCGTGCACCACCGCCCGCTGCCGCCGCCCGTCGAGGGCCCGCGCTGGGTCGACGAGTGCGGCGCCGACGGCGACGTCAACATGTCGTTCTGCTGGCGCGCGCAGGTGCTGAGCACGGCACGCACACCCGACGGCATGGCCGCGACCGCGATCCCCCTCGTCCGCGAGCAGAGCCTCTGGAGCCGCAGCCGCGGCGCCCAGCGGTGCAACGACGCGACCTTCACAGCCCCCTTCGCGGCCACGGCGGCGGCGGCGGCAGCGGC